TCTGATTTTTTGATAGTTTCCTCCCTAATGGATCATTATTTTTGATACTTTTTTTGAATCCTTCTTCTTCTGTTCAGTCCGCTTGACATATCTGACAATGAACTTGTTACACTCTTACTATTTTCTATCGTACTCTTATTTCTCTGAGCTTTGATCTTGTCCCATGATGGTTAATAGATGAATGATGTCAGCATATCGATATTAAAATTACCATAAGGGTGATATTGTGAATTCAAATAGAGTCTTACACTTCTTGTGTTATGGTGATCTAATTACCTAACACTAGCAGCTCTTTGACTGTTCCAGTCTGTCTGGAAAGCCAGTAAAACGTGACGAGGCTTTTTCAACTGATTGGACGTCTTGACTGAATCAAAATTCTGGAAACTTTTGGTTCTGGTATTATTATCTTAACTGTCACAATCTTAAAGGCTCATAAATATTGTAAAAGTATTCTTTGTAAGAATAATAATCTACCAAAGACATTGATAACTATAGCATTAGCAACGTATTCAATAGCGTTATTTAAGACGTCCTAGAAGACGCTTCTGTTTCATAAAAAAAGTGAGAAAAAAAAACAGGTAAAAATACGTAGAGTGACTCGTTTCTTTTATAAACTTTACATCAATATAAAGTGAAAATTAGAATATGCCAATGTAATTAGGCATCTATGGAGGGAACAAAAAAACAGAAAAAAACCAGTGGACAGTTAGTGCTTGTGTACGCAAGTATGGAGTTATATTTCTTTAAAATTATACGGCAGATAATTGTATTATGAATATCAATACATCTTCCATAGAATGAAATTAGCTACAAAGGTGGTGAAATTATCGTTGGAATAAGTATAGTTACGTTAATTAGGTGTTAATTCATACAGTACTGAAATTTTATTGGAATTGTCATTGATTCATTAACAGTTTAAAAAGTTCAGAAAAAAATGAAAAAAGTTTTTAAAACAATTCTTTATGTATTGTTAGAGTAACTCATTTATAAGAAATAAGTCAGTATTCATTATTTCATTATTTCATGAAAAAGCTGCTCTGCTAAAATACACTAATTTTTTAAACAAAAGAAAAACCATTTAACTTCAGAAAGTAGTTAATTACATGATTAAAGTTCATGTTTATAACCATACGATACATTACTAATAAGAAAGTGAGTAAGAGCCACAGTTTGAGTGCGGAAGATCGTGAGATCATGTCCCGTGGAAAGTGTTTTTTTTTTTTTTTTTTTTTTTATAGAGCTAGTTAAGTAATGAGAAATAAAGTTAAAAAAAATTAAAATGTCTGCTCTAATATGGTAGCATGGCATGGTTTGAAATATTCAAGATCCACTTCCATCACATACTTTCTCAAGGTCAGAATTTTGAAATGGTTGATTTACTCCTGTGCATAACGCGCCTATAGAAGTATTACTTCAAAAACTTTTTTCAAAGTCCAAGATTTTATAAACAAGCATCGCTTCTACTTAAGGCCCATGAAAGTGCTCGAAACAAGCAAGCAGAACTGACCTTTTTCTCGCTTTTACATATTTTGATGTATACTGGGTTTGCTAAAACTGTACCTTATATAATTTTAGAAACAATTTCCTTGACACCTCTTTACATCATTCTATTAATACCGAATTAACTTGTTCCAAATACATTGATGTCTCATAACAATTTGTTCTGATTAAAAATAAAACAGCAATTTTTTAATGCTTACGCTATGATTTTCTGGTAATTGTCATTTTGCTTTTAGACAGTGCTGGAAACGATCGTCAGGAGTTAGATGCCAAAAGCAACCTTCAGGCTGTATGTCAATGAAGGCCAGTAGAACTCAGCACCACCACCCATCAAACTGTGAAGTAACATTTATACCTGTAAATATATTGACACACAGCCTGAGGATAGCGTTTGGCATCAAACTTTTGACCATCGTGGCTGTCTCTGGTAGTAACGTAGCTTGGTATAAGCACCTCTGTATTTTTTTTTAGTTATGCATTACAGCTTTTCAGTTTTAACTCTGCATGTATTATGATAAAGTAAGGCATAAATAATTCCTACAAGAACCCGTTTTGAACCTTTTTTCATCATTTAATGTAAAACTAGCTACGTTGTAGATAACGTACAGAATCTATCAGGTAAGATAACGTTGATCTGAAAACTTTACATCGTTGTAAAATGAGTTTATCGTAATATTGTAATAACGTTGCATAAATTATACGTGAAGTAATTTGACCACTAATTGTACTAAAAATGATGATTAAGTAGTCAATACATAATGAATAATCAGAATGTAAAGGAAGCACTTGTAATGTTTATATAATGTCTTATAGCGTTCAAGCAACCTAATTTTAGATTGTTAAAAAGCTTTCAAAATAGGTTTTTACCTTTTCTAAAACGTTGTACGTTATCAGCAATTGCATTATTTTTGATTAATCTCAAGGTTCACAGTTGCGATAAACGTAGTAAGCAAAAAAACTAGTTGACAGTGGATTCTTTGGTACCCAAGTATGAAGTTATTTCTACAAAATTATATGGCAAATAATATAATTATGCGTATAAAAATACTTTCTATGAAACAATATTGTTAATGAAAGTGCTGCCGTTATCGTTAAAATGAGTATTCCCATAAGAATTTGATGTGGTTCAATGGATATTTTAAGATTTAATAAATGAACCATTATAGACAGTATATTACGGCATATAGGCATGCTAGTACAAAACTACACTTTCATCGAATCTTCTTATGATTTCAAGACAACTTTCTACTGCCTACGCTGGTTACATCTTGAACGTCACGCTTACATCCACCACAAACGCTCATACACTTATTCCTAGTCAATATCAAATACCCAAAATATATTTGTGTCTAAAAAATTTAAATAAACTTTCCTGCAGTACCCTTTTGTATAATACGGTATAATAACATACTGCCAAATGTCTCTTGAAGACGTTGATTACACATAGGTTTTTTGAATAGGTGCTATTCACATCCAACATATATTCTAAAAACCGTAAAAAAATACCAAATAAACATTTTTTTGGTAAGAAAGATTACTTTTAAATAAGTTCGTTAAATTTTCAAATAGATCTTCAAGTTGGTTTCTCAATAAAATAAAAATTTAGCAAAAAAAATCAGTTCATAAAATAAATAGTATGCAGCAATAGAAATTTTTATCTTAGGAGAACTGATAACAGAGTAGGTAAGAGCCTCAGAAAGTGTGCAAAAGATCGGGGATCGAATCTGTTAGGAAAATAATTTTTTTTTTTTTTTTTTTTTGTGTAGTGAAGGTGGGATAGCATGCAAAATACACTTTTGTCACACTTTTTCTCAAGGTCACCAATCTGAAATCTTTGATTTACTCTCACGCATGACGCGTCTAAAGAAGTATGATTTCAAAATTTTTTCCTTATACTACAGAATGCGTTGGCATCAGTCCATGGTAGATAAACTTGGCTGAAACCAGTAAAAGCTGAATCCAGCACACGTCTTCCTTCCTGCTTACGTGTATGACTGTTGGTGGAAGGGTTGTACACAGTTTTCTTCTCTTTGGTTAGCTCGTAAGAGAAAGTGTTGTTTTGTATGTGTACATGAAAGTTCCAACCACACAATTATATCGATGAGGCGTGTCGAATAACTGTTACCTTTCCAAGGTAAGGTAATATATGTACACATCTACATGCTCATATGTATATGTATATTTATATACATACTTTCGTATGATGTGTGTATGTCTATTTTTTTAAAGTAATACTTCTATGGGTGCGTTCTGTCCTACGGAGTAAATCAACGGTTTTAGATTAGTGACCTTGAGGAAAAGTGTAACGAAAGTAAATTTGGCATGTTATTTCACCTTTACCCCACCCCCCTTGCCGCACCATGCCGCACCACTCCACGTCTCATTACACATAACCACGCCACTGTATAACATCGCGTTGGACGTTTTAATTTAAAAAAATAAGAAAAGAAAAAAAAAATTTCCAAAAAAAAGTTTTAAACCCCCGACCTCTTGCACACTGGCCGATGCCCTAACCTACTTGCAATGAGGAGGCCCACAATAAAAAATCAATTACTTTATTTTATATAACAATTTGTAATTTGTTATTAATGTTTATTTTCATTTTCTGTGTATTGATTCATTTAGTTTAATTATATAGCAGAAAAAAAATAATTTATGTGATAAAATAAGTTTTTTAGGTACATGTTGTTTTAAAAAATTTAGAAGTTAGTGTACATTAGCCGAGAAGCTTTTATATGTTTTTAATATCTTGACGTAGGATGTGGAATGAACAATAAGAAAACCTTGAACAAGCGGATGTATTTAATAATATGTGTTATTTATTTTTAAGCACCAACTCAATTACAATAAACGGTAGCTGAGCAAGCAGCTCGTGCTCGTCGCACATCTCAACATGGATAGAGCACTCCGACGCTCGCACGAAAATGCCGCCCGCAGCCGCCAGTCGTCGGCAGCACGCGCCCCTCTTGCCCACGATACCACAATCCTCCCCCTTACAATTTACAGATTTACAAATCTAATATCCGTTGAGGTTTCAGCACGCGAGATGAACGCCTTAGCGGTTTTACAGGTACGGGCGCTGCTTCGCTTTTAATCTTAATCGTTTTACTATTATTTTCGCGTATTTTCGCTGGTTGATTATTACTATCATTATTTAAAATAGAATCAGACTTATCAACATGCGTTGATTTACAATTTTATGCTTTTTGGCTCCATTGAACCTTCTTACATGACGACTCCCTCAGAAGGTCCCAACGAGTCCGCATTTTATGGCCCAATTGAAGCTCCACTGGAGACACTCCAGTTGTGACATGGGGTGTTGATCTCACATGGAACAGGTACTTAGACAATGACTCTTTGAGTGATTTGTCTTCACCTCTGAACGACTTAAATTTTTTCTTAAATGTCTTCACAGCATTTTTGGCTGCCCCGTTGCTTGCAGGACGATAAGGCGACGACGTTGCATGAAGAATTTCATTGTTCTCCAGGAACGATACAAATTAAAATGAACAAAAAGATGGACCATTGTCCGTAACTAGCTTAACGGGTAGGCCCGCATCTGTAAAATACTCCCTGAAGGCGTCGATTGTTGACTTCGATGTGATGTCGCGCATAAGCTTGACGTCTACCCACTTCGAGTGAGCATCCGCGACAATCAAGTACATCTTCCCGTCCAGTGGACCTAAGAAGTCTGCATGCAAACAAACTTTAGGGGCGTCCGGCCAGTCCCAAACGTGCAATTTCAATTTAGGTGGACTGTCATTATACTTGAGACAAGCCTCGCAAGACTTCGTGATTTTTTCAATCTCCGCGTCCATGCCTGGCCACCAGATGTATGAGCGGGTCAGGGCCTCCATTTTAACCACGCCCATGTAACCATCATGAAGCTCCCTCAACATCAGTACACGCAGCGATTCTGGCACCACCAATCGATGGCCCCACATCAGACAGTCATTTTCGATCGAAAGCTCCAGCTCCTTGTTTTTAAATTTGGCTAACTCGTCACTCACCTTGCTTGGCCAGCCATACTTTACATACTGACGTACTTACTATTTTTAAGCATCAGTTCAATCACAATAAACGGTAGCTGAGCAAGCAGCTCTTGCTCGTTGCACATCTCAACATGGATAGAGCACTCCGACGCTCGCACGACAATGCCGCCCGCAGCCGCCGCTCGGCGGCAGCACGCGCCCCACTTGCCCACGATACCACAATGTTATATTGAATATTTATTTACTTATTATTAATTTTTTACTTTTAAAATAACTAGGCAATTGCTTAAAATAAAACAGGTTTATTTAAAAGTAATCTTTGATACGAACAAAATTAGGGGGATATTACAGATTGTCAATACAATTTTAAGTGATTTTTCCGGAAGGTTATATGTTAAATTGCAAAACTTTAAAATTAAACATGTGAAAGAGGGTGCAGTTGAATGATCTGCAATTCCTTTTAGATATTTCTCATAGTATTTCTAGTAAACTTTTATTGCAAATATTGTGCAATGCTTACAAAAAGTAAAATTTTATTGTAGTGGTACCACAGAATGGTTTGTCTTATTTTTTGAAATACAATCATGTATTGAACATTGAATTTGGACTAGGAATAAATGTGTTAGCGTATGTCGTAAATGTGAGCGTCACATTACAGATGTAATCATCGTAGGCCGTAAAAAGTGGTTTTAAACCTATTAAAAGATTTGATAAACGTGCAGTCTTGTACTAGCCAGCCTCCATATTGTTTATATTTTATTTTACCAAAATATATTATTTATGATTATTCAGTGGATAAATATTATAATATTTATTGAAACCACACTCAACACCCTACTCATATAGGTATACTTTTTTTAACGCTAATTGCACCACCTTTTTACACAGTATTGTTTGATGAAAGATATATTTGTATTTATAATTGTAACGTATTATTTGCCATATAATTTCAAAGGAGTATAACTTCTAGCTTGGGTATCCAAGCACCCACTGTCCACTGGTTTTATTTTTTTAAATTACTGATAAGAGAATATAAGATGGGAGTCTTAACTATAGGATACCACCACATAGGTAGAATTAATAATTTTTTTACTACTTTAAAAAATGATATCATATGTATATTGATTTTCTATAAAGTTAGTAAATGATATAAAAAGTATATTGTCTATTTTTTTTTGGAGAAAATAAATTATGAAACATAATTGTTTTTAGTTTTTCAAATATATATTTTGAACAAAAGTTCTAAAATCATATTAGCAAAGTATGGATTATAGTATTCATAAATTATTTTTACATTTTTCGTAAATTAATAATACATTATTTACAAATTCATATGTGAATAGCTTCTATTATCACTATCATCTTCCTATTTTATATGTAAGTAGAACTTTTTTATGAGTTTGACAGTATAAAGAGCCCAAATGGATATAAGCTCTATCATGATGAGGGCAAGTATTAACCTATTTTAAAAACTTAAACAAAAGCTAATCTGTCTTATTAGTGACTTTCAGTCCAAATTTTTTGAGCCACCTTTATTTTATTTCTCGAGTTACAAAAATTTTGGAAGCATCTTAAAGATTCTCTTGTAAAATATTTATAATCTCAGTGTATTTTGTACTACTAAAGTTTTAGGATAGTCCACAATAGTTAAGTTTAAGATACAAGTTTTTATTTCTATAATTCAGTGATTGCTTATACCCAGAATAGGGTGCTTTAAAAAAATGTGTTTAGGTTTCAGCATAGTTTGGATGAAGCGAAAAAAAATCTCATTCCTTAATCGTTGCCAGTTGTTTTAAAGCCTTGCATGTCTACCACATATTCTATTTTATTCTTTTTTTTTTTTTTACATAAAAACCTTAAATTCTTGTTCAAATCTTATAGATTTGCCGTTTAGAACATAATTATTTATTAGTTGAGAACTATTCTTTTAAATTTTTCAAACAAAATTTCTTAATTCTGTCATTATCAACAAGTTGTTTTTGTATTCAAAAGGATTTTACAACATTTATCATCTTTTGATTTTGGCCTAAATTCTTTTTCTTCCAATTCTTCAGCGTCTCTTCTCAAATTTTTCCACTCTGCTTGTCTTCGCTTACTTTTTTCTTCTTCTCTGGTCCAACTTCTCTGATCTTTCTCCATGGTAGTTAGCAGATGAATGATATTTGTAGTGTTATGGATTGGGTTTTATAGCCTTAAATCAGTTTTTTTAAATACCCACTCATTAGACTGTACTGTACGATACGATCGTATAAAATTAAGCAAGAAGCTGATGTAATATCCGGAAAATTATCGTGAAATTCTGATTTAAATCGCTCATTTACGAAAGCATTCTTTAATGACTCATTTCGTTTAGAGCAGTTAAGGATAATGAAAGGTACAGCTCGTTGAAGTTGATATTTGCTTAACAAAGGTGCACAATCTTTGCCATAAAATGAATTCTAAACGATCGCATACATGTCCTATAACAATTTAAAATGATTGTTTGTTATATTAATACTGAGATCTTCTTAAGGATAATATTGTGAAATAAAAAACAGTTTCACATTTCTTATATAGCAATATTTAAACTCGCTAGCATTAATACCTTTCTGACTTTTACGATTCGTCTAAATGGCTAATATAACATAGTGCGGCTTTTCCAAGTGATTGGACGTCTTGACCGTCCAAATATGTTTCGATGTCGTAGGTATAAGTAAATATTCATAAAGTTTTGAAGTTCGATAGCTTATAGATATAAATTTATCTTTTTACAAATAACTAAGTGGACAAATTTTATGCAAATCTGACATCACAACGTCGGGATAGTTCTAGTTTTAAAATTATTATCTTGAAGCCTTTCCAAGTCGCCACTCCATTAGATTCTACAGCAGGAATTCCATTTTGTACAACTGGATTTAAATTATTCTTGTGAGTATAAGTTTATGCTTTACATTAACAACTATTTTACGATAGTCTTTTACAAAATCAAAAATCATACTGAGAGGAATCAGGAGACCAAAGGAGCCATTATTTTTTATTCAAATGAGTTTATTTGAAGTATCAAGCTAACCAGCATTGGCATTTAATACGTCTTGATCAGGATAAATACTCAGCTAGTTTTCAATAAGAGTTGTCGAACCTTTGTTTGTACACCCATCTATCTCTTTAGCGCTTATCTTATATCTTGTTTCTTTGGATAAATAAAGGATAGCATTGATTACTAGTTAAGTATTTGCAACTGTTGTATTGCCATCTGCTTAGACTAATCTTCCATATAAAGAACTGTGGGAATGTAGCAGCTAAAGGTCTCGATGTAAAATTGATGTACGAATTCCATCACAATTATTTTATAGTGATGATGCACGTGGTTAATGAGCATAAATTTCATAGTGCGCGAGAAACTCATCAAATATAAGAGGAGATGAAATAGTTGGAATGCCATTCATCTTCAAGGTAAAGAATTTGAATGTTGATTCACAGCTTTCATTTTCAAGCCAAGAATTTTAAAAGACTGTGTGTTTAAATTTGTTAATTTTTGATGCTTTCATTGTCCTTTCCAATGTCTCAACGATTTGAAAGCTTGCCGCTGACTAAGCGCAGAACTACGTGTTAAGCTGTGTATATACTTTTTCTGATTATAAATGATAACCATTACGATGAGGATTTAATGTGTAATCTTTTTGATACGACTTCTCTTCGAAAATTGATTTAATTACCATCTTTATCAACTACGCGTAGTTATAAGTAATCTATGGCTCTTCCAAAGACAGGTAAGTAGATTACTCGTGACAAAACTTTAACAATTTTACATTCTGGTGTTACCACAGGAAAAAAAATTAATGAATTGCATAAACTTTTTTTCTATTTACAGAAGCTTCATTAGTAATGCTGCACTCAACTCGTAATGCATTAATCTTGAGAATGGATACAGGTAAGTTAGAACCAAGAGTCAAGGTATCTTGCGGTATTTTTTTTGGTAAAATCCAGTACTCTATAGAATCTTTTGGTCTGAGATTAATTGTATGCTACACCTAATAACACTACAAAGCATTTTATAATTTGACTTGATACTGATACTTATATCTTTCGGTTGTAACACATCGGCTAAAAATGACTCAGCATCTTGAATTTTATAACTGCCAGTTAGGCCAACGACTACTTAATTTCCTACGTGAAATTTATTATTATTTACGTTATTATGAGAAATTCAATTAAATGTTAGGGGTTCTACTAAGCCAAGAACATATTTTTGTTCGATTGATAATTTAATATGTGGAAAATATTGGTTCTAGAGTAGAATATGTACGAAATATACTAGGATTGAATGCTTTTTCAATGACCGTCAATGTTTAACTAAGATTTTTTAATCATTACTTTAACTACGTATATATGTTTGACACAAGCTTTTGGACCAAATTACTACAGTTGTAAGAGTAATATTTTTGATATCGTTTAGGATTATGTTAAATTATATCAACACCACAATACAACTTATATTAATAGTTGGCTGCAAATCTCTAAAATTATATAATAAACAACATTCTGACTGTATTTTAAACGTGCCATCCAGTGAGTTACAGGTCCATTTTTATCGTCAAGCGTTACTAAATCAGTTTTACACTATTATGTTCTTCCACTTAATAAGTCATGTTGCATAAATATTCCACGAAAAAAAAAAATTCAACCTTCGAAAATTTTATTGAATATACATTTTGCAAAGCTTTTTGAGTTGATTATACTTTTTTATACATTTTTCTTTATGTTTTTTTTCTGAGACCTTTATCGAATATTTTTTAATATACTCCTAATCGAATTTCATGGGGCTTAAGATAGAGACCTCTTCCTAACGCAATAGTTTTTATAGTTTCATTATGTCTTTGATTTTCTTCAAGTTGTTTCTTAACAGACTTAGATGTGTTAGCACTCTTTACAATTTCTGCAGTACCATTTGCCAAAGCGTCAGTAACACTTAA